GTGCGGTTACCGAGGGCTTGGGATGCGCTTTCCTTGAAGAAGCCGCGAACGTGCTGTCCGATGTTGCACTGCGTGCAGGAGATAAAGAAGGGCTCTACCCGCGGGAGCTCTCGAAACCAGCGAGGCTGGGTGTCTTTCGTGTCCTAGACACGGGGCATATTAAACAGAGAATGCGTGCAGAAGGTCCTGGGGATGTAGAGGTGTCCTAGACACGCGAGACTCGTACGAGGCGACAGTTAAATATAAATTGTAGTAAGTGGTTGATGGGGGAGAGTGTAACGGGGTTACACATGCCCTGGTATGAAGGGGTTGGTCACATAAGATGGTGTGAGCACACAATGGTGTAGATACACCTTAACAAGAAGTCAGTACGTGGCTGGACTGACGGTAATTATGTATTTTGATTAGGTTTTACTATTGAGTTATGAAGACCTATAGATTGAGATATAGGCGGCTTTGCCGCAAAAAAACCAAGAAATACAGTTTACATCTTGAGCGAAAGCGTCTATTTGCCTTGGGTTAAGGTTGTGGTTACTTTTGGAGTGAGCGGATTGCGACCCGCTAACTCGTACTGGTTCAAAGTATATAACGAAGGATCCCGACCTTAGCTAAGCTTCGTCTAGGCGAACGAGCTACGGCAGTCCCGCTGCAAAAGCCGCACATTGGTCGTCAACAATCGACGCCATCGCAATGAAAGCCATCACCGGTTTGGAGCCGTATCGTTGATCTGGAGCAGAGGTAGTTCGGCTGTAGGGTTGGTGGGAACGCTGCGTTGTCCCGAACAGAGCATTTCACATCTGACTGATCCATCAGTACGATGGCGCAACCAGATCTATGCAGAATACAGGATGTGCTTCCATTATCTTCGCAAGTGGAAGACTGTAACTCGATCCTGTTTTTGCCACGACTGTAAACGGATGATGTAATGTGGCTGCACCTTTGTCGTTGTAGACTATCTTTACTGCATGTGTAGGCAACGTTTAGCAAAACCTTTGTCTTCGCGACGTATTACCGTGTTTAACCGACCTCTGTTATCGGCATGTTGCTTTCTTACATTCAAGCTCACAGTCATAGCGCTTTGCGTTCGAAGCACGACGATCAATCTTGTCGATGTAGGGTCTTTGAGTTTGCCAAGAAACTTTCGGTCTAATATCAGCGAGTCGAGCTGTATCGACAGCCCCCTCGCCCACTATAACCAGAGCGACTTTATGTCAAGAAAACACGAGGACTTACTGAGCCTTGTTGCAGCTGTCAGCAAGGTGAGCATTCCGTCTGTCCACAAGGACCACAGTACCGAATTGTCGCACGCATCTTTTGCAAGACCGCAAAATACTTATGAGCTGACAACACTATGCCGTAACCGGTAGACTGACCAAAGACGCCGACACATGTGAGTTTTGCCCGTTGACGTGTAAAACACGTATGCACACACTGCTTATCCACTTATACTGGTTGAGATTCTAGTACATAGCGTTCAATGAGCAGTGCCACTAAATGGGGTATTATGTGCCACGTACAGTCTTGAATATTTGTGGCATTCTTCGTAAACTACCAACATACGTTGAGTTTATTGCTGTGTTATAAAAAATCACCCAAAAGTTTTGCACGTAGAGACGAAGTGGCTTCAGTCTTGGTGAGGTTGCCGATACGAAGCAGCATGCTCGTACAGCCCTGTTACACTTTCTAACGGATCGATCACTTTATCTCGACGTGATTTGGCGTCATGTGCCATGTGCGTGACGCTATGGAGAAAAGTAAGGATCTGCAAAAGCAACAGAAGCGGAAAAAATATAGAGAGGGTAAAAATAAAATATTGAACAATGCGAGCCTGTCCACATATGCAACTTTTGCAGTCTATAAAACTGAACTTTGACTTTGCTACATTGGAACACATACAGTCGTAGACAAAAGCAATTGAGTTGCACTTCTAATGTCCCAGCAAAAATGCGAATAAGTCATATGTTTAACGCGGCCACCCACGAAGCTACTTTTACAAACCCCTTGGATGCGTCGCGATCTGCTGACGATAAAGTGACGTAAAGCAGCCCTTGTAGCCCAGCTAACTTCTGTTCTCTAGGAGCAATAAGATTTCGAAACACGCGCGGTGTCTTGTGCTAATCATTTCAATTGCACGTCTCAGCGAGCACACCCGAATAATGAGGTATCAGCCGCGCACCGAGACTCCAGAGACGAGCCGTTTGCCGTCATAGCCTAGAGACCTCAAGAGATACAGCAACGGTGTTTACGCTGAACCTGCTTTAAAAGCAAGGGGTGATATGGAGCGAAAAGTGGAACGACGGGCCTATCAAGAGAATAAACTTTTGCTGATAAAGTGGAAAAATACTCCTTTTCCGAGAATATATGGAAGTTGGAGGGCCCACACTGACATGATTGCCCTAGCTTCATTGCTACTTACGATTTGGTGTACTCTTTGTGTCTAATACCTCAGGAAAAGAGACAAAATCGCACAAAGCAACGTGCTTTCCACGAGCGAGTGAAGCCAAGCCTACTTCTATGTTTGAGACTTTGTCAATAGATGTATCAGCAGACTTCTACAGATAATCAGAGTTAATCGCTATAAAATTTGGAGGATTTGTGCGCCAACCTCAATGTCGACGTTTTGCTTAACTTTGCAATCTCGAGCATTGAACGGCCTTCTCCTCGGATGCTTGCTTTGCTATGGCTGGCTTATGAGCTGGCTAAATGGGTGAGACGATGTGATAACTCACCAGTGAGCGAATTAGGTATATGCCATCTGGTGATTTCATAGAGCCGAATACTAGAAATACGGTGTTCAGATTTATTTAAACCGCTACTAGTGAAGGCGCAAGAGGTATTACTCCAGAGTGGGGGCATGTGGGGCTCTCTCAACCAAATGTTTTAGTCTCCAATTAAGCGGAAAACCACGCACATTATGTACATCAATTCTCGTTACAGTTTTATTTCAAGCTGATAGCTACTCTGCGGCTGGTGTTAACAAATTCTTGTACGTCCCCCGTTACACCCCCACCGGAATTAGAGCCCCACTGGGGTCACAATCATACAAGACCGCACACATAGTGAAAAGTCTGCGAGTATTCGCTGTGTTGGGAGGTCGTCTTCCTCACTAACCATACTATTAACAGCATCAATCTCTCCATTTAGCTCCTATATATTAATGATACATTGAAGAAGGCGTGGCTCTTGCGGCCGATGCAATGCTTGCCATACTTAGAGGGTGTTCACCGATATGAATGCTCACAATGACGCTTCGGATCCCGGCCTAACACACCCATAATTATGCGGCCAAGCTGTATCTCATCTGCTGAACCCCCTCGATGATTCGACGCTCGCTACGGACCCCGCCTCATCTCTGCATGAGTGTCGCACTTTGTACTCGTTCCACGAAACGGAAGATGAGGTCCAGCTTATAAATAATGGTCTGGCTAAGCAAAAAAAGCTTAGCTTGCCCGTCCGTATCACTTGGGTCGAAGTGACTTCCGACACAATCCTTCGATAAATCGGGAGTTGCCGCCGCGCTGCGGCGCAACATCTCACTACTCTCTCTCGATTTGTGCTAAGTCCACAGAAGTATTGTGACGCAGTATAATGATAAGTACTCGTTGCGGATGACGGTGATGAGACTCCATAGAGGAGAGGCCCATGAGGTGCTTGGGCATCCAGCCACACGCATTGCATTACATAGTGTATTAATTTATTATATCGTAAACAAATATATTTACAGTCAAGGAATTCATAGCAAACGAAGAACATTTTACTTGAGAGGCTCTCGATTCGGCACTGAAAGTTGAAGCATCTTCTGTGCGAAGTGATGGCCACTCCGTTGCACATTAAATATCAATTTCTACGTTTATAACGAAAGGTAAGTGTAATACTTAATAGTAGAAATTTCTTGGAATTTTTACATGTCAAGTTGCACTAAGAGATTGAGAAACATGAAAGCCACGGCGCTTATCCTTTGCAAGAGAGTTTCCGCCTCATTTGCTTACACATTACCTTATAGCCCAATGTCGAACGATCTTGGCTCAGCAATTTGTCGCTTCTAGGCTACACAACGTTTCAATAATGTTCTTAGTTTAGTGATTGGACAGCTATTTGCACCATCCTTAGCTAACTATAAACAGCGCCAATACAGCGGCGACCTGTTTTCCAAGCTTGACTGTTGTCCATTGCATCGATACAGTCTCGTAGATCTACAGATTGTACGATGGCGGTAGCTGCCGACTATACGCGATGGGTGCGTGAGCTAGATGAAAATCAGAGCGGCGATACTCAATATGACGAGCGGCTTGAAGTCTCGAATGATTGTTTCAAAGCACTTCCTCGTTCTCAAAGCTTTGTGACAGCAAGTTTAAGCCGTAAAGTCAAGCCTCGAGTCGCACCAATTTCTCAGACATTCGAATTACAGCAAGAAATGAAGTTGCTTAACTGGCACAAACTTGCGAATGAAGCAGCTCTTAAAGCTGCTATTATCAAGACAAATAAAATCAAGCAAGAAGACTCGCAGATTGCGACTGCACTGTATCAGGAAGAGCGAGAAGAGCGTGTGCAACGCGCGCAGCAAATAATAGAAGAGGAGCAACTGAAGCCGTTGCAAGTGAATCCAGAATTCTTTCGCTCTTTGGAAGCCAAAGGCCAACGTGACGAGGCTAAGCTCGATCATGATGTACAACGTCACATTGAACACCTTCGAAAACTCAAGGAATTGATGGCTCAACGAGAAGAAATGCAACGAAGACGCCAACAGTTTCGTGATAAGATGAGATCGCTTCAAAAGGTTGATAGCGACATTCATCGGCTTAAGCAGTTGCCAAAACTTTCGAATCAAGACGAAGTTGATGTTAAAAATGATCGTGGAGACACCAATAGCATATACCATCAGGCTGCCATGGCTGCAGGAGGCAAGGCTGCGCTTGACAATGCAATAATGGTGACCAGTTTGGATAAGCTGATGGAACTTGAGCAACGCATCAGAAATCTGGAAGATGCTGGTTTAGCAGTGGATAGTCAGAACGAAGCTCGATCTAATTCGAGATCGAGGAGAACATCAAAGCAAACCCAAATTCCTGGGGGCGGGCTCCGATTTTCAAAGCGACGGGCTACCGGTGGATTGGATGAGCCGTCAAGAACTGTGTATGCTGTCACAGGAGCGACTAAAATGCGTGCACGCGATAATGTACCGTTAAAAAGAACATCGAAGTCGTCAGTAACACCAAACAAGCGTGTATACCCTAGTAGTACTGGATCAAGGAATCGAACCATACCGAATACTAATACATTTCTTACAAGCCTTCCTGAAAGCAAACAACGACAAGTTCGACGAATGACAGAACGTGAACGGCGTAATTTTCTTAAGAAAGAAAAAGCAAAGGAAATAGAAGATCGAGCTCGAAGACAGAACGTTGTGATCGAAGGCTGGCTTGACAAAAAGCGAGCAGCTGCAAATCAGCGAAAAGCTTCGACATCTCAAATGCGAGCTTCTGCACAGACTTCAACAGTTTCTCGACGAAACATGAAGCAAGAAGTCCCTCCACCACCTCGTATAAGAGCACCAACTCTTGGTGCAGCATCTGGAAAGCGTCTTGCAAATGCACATCTTCAAAATTTTGACAATATAAAGAAAGGATTTACAAAGCGAAAAGAAGCTATTCAGCGTCTACCTTCTACAGTTTATAGCAGATCGATGGGTCAATTCAGCGCGGCGACTGCTTCTCGAAGTCAGCGCACATTTACTCGCAGTGCTCTTATCGGAGCTAACACACGACAGACTGTTAATACTCGAGGAATTACTTTGCCGTCTACACGAAGTGAAGTTTTAGCTGGCAAAGGATCAAATCGACAATTTCTAGGTCATCAAAGAGAGTCTGCGTCGACTGTAGTAGCACGTCAAGTCACGAATAAATTACCTCGGCTCCAACAATCTGTGTCATCTAGAATTTCACATCGTCCAGGACAAAGCGTAAAACCGAATTTGCCTCGAATTTTGAATCATAAAGGACCTGATTTCACGCTTTCGCAGCCTTTAAAAGCTCGAAGCGTCAATGTTCCAGCTTTTAGTCGTTTGAATAAACGATGATAGCGTTTAGTGATGACACAATTGTACGAAGTTTTGCTCTCAAATTGTACATGTGTTTGACCAAAGTAGTGCGTGGATGTATAAATCACAGACGTTCTTTCAAGCGCTAAGCAAGATCAATCAATAGACAAGATATCAACGATGGATTGAACTCTAAGTGCTAAGTCTTCGATAAATAAGGACGTAATTTTATTTAGTATAGTTTCTACAAGTAGCATCTAATTCTTAAGTCTTAAAACTAGTTATTTTCACTTAAGCACTAAGAGATAGTAATTTTTCATTGTGATTGGTTGAAACAACACATTCCTCAAATCGCTGGTCAAACACGCGTCCCCCTGATTTCTGGTCATGTCTTCGCTGCTTGTCGACGCTGCAAGTGACATTGCCTTTGAAGTGGTTGCTGCAGCATCATTAGCTGCTGTGGCATCAGCTGCTGCTCTTAGTGTACACTGTTGTAAGCGTCGACACGAAGCTGAGAACTCGAACTCGTCACCACACGCGCTCAAAAAAGCTCGTCCAAAGAAAACGAAGAACACTTCGGAGCTCATTCATCCGGTGATTTTAGCTAATGGTGTTCACATTAACACTGAACCAGTGATTTTTGAACTGAAACGTCGTGCTGCTACTTTGAAATGGAGTCATAAACTTGTTTACACGTTCTTAGACGATTTTGGTCGTGAGACTGTCAATTTAAGCTTTAAGGATGTGGATTGTGCGGCGCGTAAAGTGGCAGCAGCTCTTCAACGTAATGCCAATGTGAGTAAAGGGGACCGTGTGATACTATGTTTCCCTCCTGGTCTCGACTTTGCTTTAGCTTTTTGGGGATGTTTGTATGCTGGAGCTGTGGGAATTCCCGTGTATCCACCGTACCCTGGCACTTTAGCTAAAGATTTGCCCAAATTTAACCGCCTTGTGGACGACTCAGGGGCTACAGTAGTGTTGACGAACTCGACGTATCATCTTGCTAGCAAGATGGCTACAGTTAAAGGATATTTCTCCTCCTCCAAGACGTCCTGGCCCGCCAACTTGCAGTGGATCACTACCGACAATCTACCCGACTCACTAATGTCAAAGTATGACGAACAGGATGCACTGTCATTGACGCACCGTGATATCGCGTTTTTTCAGTACAGTTCTGGCTCGACGGCAGCACCCAAAGCAGTGATGATCTCACACGGTAATTTAAAGGCGCAGTTGCAGACGTGGGAGAGCATCAGACCTAGTGATACTATGGTAAGCTGGTTGCCTAGCTATCATGACATGGGGCTAGTAGGCTTTATCATTACCCCGTGTGTCACAGCAGCGCGTTGTGTGAGTATGTCTCCTATTAGTTTTATCAAAGACCCTGTTTTGTGGATGCGTACAGCTAGTAAGTACAAGGCTACACATGTCTGTGCTCCCAACTTTGGCTATGCGCTTGTAGCAAGAAAGACAAGCGATAAACAAGCAGCCGAAATGGATCTTAGCTCGTTAAAACAAACAATTTGTGCAGCTGAGCCAATTCGTCATGAGTCTCTAGAGGCATTTACGAAGAAATTTAGCAATTCTGGATTCAATGCTGAATCATTTAATTGCGGCTACGGTTTAGCAGAAGTCACACTAGTATGTACTGGTCAAGATCCACCCCGGAAACCGACAGTATTAAATATCAAGAAGCGTGTGCTTGAGACACAGCACAAAGTTGAGATCGTGAGTGTCGGAAAAGATGGTAAAATTTCTTCCTCTGATGTCATACAATTGGTAGGCAGCGGTAAGGCTATGCCAACATTTGGCTTGACGATTGTTGATTTAAAAATGAAAAGGTCGATTGGAGAGCTGCAAGTCGGTGAAATATGGGTACAAGGACCGTCAGTGGCGGTCGGCTACTGGAATCGTCCCGAGCTCACAGAAGAGATGTTCCACGCAAAGATTGCTGGCGACAAGAGCGTCAACTCAACGTACTTGCGTACTGGGGACATGGGCTTTTTGTACAAGAACGAGCTTTTCGTTACGGGTCGGCTCAAAGATTTGATTATAATTCGTGGCCGCAACGTGTGTCCACAGGACATTGAGGCATCTGTTGAACAGTCACATGATAATGTTCGTCCAGGTTGCACAGCTGCTTTTTCAATCGAAAAGAATGGCGAAGAAGCGCTTGTGGTAATTGCGGAAGTCAAAACTGGGTCTTCACAGCAAACGTTAGAAGAAATTTGTCGAGAAATTGTCAAGACGGTGCTATCCGAGCACCAGCTTAAATGTGAAGCGATTGTGCTTCTCCGTCAAAAGACAATTCCAAAGACCACAAGTGGTAAAATACAGCGCAGTGCTTCGAAAGCCCGTTTCTTGGATGGCACTCTTAGTAAACCTTTGTTTGAGTACCGAGCGAAGGTTGGCAACGTGCCAATGGTAGCTACTCTAGACTCGCATACGCCTAATGTTACTGATGACAAGCCGAATGGCGACTTGAAGACACCTGATGAAATTCTCACGTGGTTACTCGAGCATTTAGCGCTGGAAAAAATGGACATACCGGCGATGGTTGGTGGTACAGAAACGATTGACGGTCAGAATGTAGTTCCAACGACACCTAAAGCTGCTGAGATTGACCCGAACACTCCGTGGGCCATGTTTGGAATGGATTCGATAGCAATTGTCGGGCTGTCGTCGAGTCTGGGCGAGTTTCTCGGATGTATAGTATCTCCTTCAGCCTTTTTCCAATTTGACACACCGTACAAACTTGCAAATGCCCCTGGATTGGCGTCTGGGGCTTTGGCTGGTAGCAATGAGGGAGATACCCAAGGCGACGTAAATCCCATACAAACTGCTGAATCAGTTGAGATGATAGACTCAAGCTGCTATAGAATTGAAGAATTTTCCGAGGTTCAGAGACTATATCAACAAATTGAAAACTTCGAACGAGCAGGATTGAATGTGCCATTCTTGGAGACGCTCACGTCTGAAAAACGCCGCATGACCAATTTTAATACA